ATTTCTTCTTTTTCCTTTTCAGTCTTGCAACTGACAAAGGACATTTGCATTAGAAAAGCTGAGGAAGGCATGAGATATGTGGCGTTTGTCATCATGTGTACTGTGCAGGCTCTCAGGGACTGGTGTCTGTCAATGATGTCTTTGTGCTACATTAGAACAATCCTCAGGTATTTGAATATGGCGTCTTTGTCACAAAGTAGTCATGGATTAGAGCTCTTTTTCATGTTCCAAGCCAGGTAATAGATTTAGCTTTTTGTGTCAATTTCTGATTTATCCCACACTCACGTTTGTATCATTTATGATTGCTCACTAGGATTGAGGGCTCTGTTACTCATACTTAGGCTATATATACTATTTTTGCATCTTCCCAAAGTGTAAAACAGACCCTAATGGATTACCTAATTCACATAAGTGTGGTTTAAAAAAAAAGAGGAAGCCTTGGCAGGAAGAGAGTGAGGAACCAGTCCACTGTCACTTTTCTGCCTCCTCTCCTGTTTATGTACAGTATGTGTGTTTGAAAGCAACTCAGTCCAGATGAGTTCAGCCGGCCACATCAAGGGCACTAAAACACCTGAATGTACAAGGTGGTCATTTAGCACTAAAATAGCACTGCTGCTTTTCGCTTTTTTTTGTTTGTGTTGTTTTTCGTCCATTTTTTTAAATCACATGTATTTATCATGTTTGGTCCAAGAGACAGGGAGAGAGAGAGGGAGCCTTAGGCTTTTTGTGTGTGGATAGTCTGTCTGAAGAGCATGTTTGGAAGATTCTAATTCATGGTCTGACCCGCTATAAATAATCCAAATAGTCCAGGATTGCATTGTTGAATTTCTCAGCATATCGTGACGTGTCATGTTGGAGATGGAACATTGTGGTCACCTTCCCGGTTGCCATCCACTCATTTAGCCTTACATGCCCTCTTCATAACCTGACCATCTCTTTAGAGAATACTAAGCAACTAATAACAGTATGAATTATGATACAAAATGGCTTTGAGCTGTACAGGCTGAGCATAGCTTAGACTAAACAAGAACTGAAATCAAAAGATTGGGAAGTTTAGTATAAAACAGCACTATAGGAGGAGGTCAAGTGCCGTCAAAGAAGAATAAAAACTGTAGAGTAGAGTGTAGAGGTGGGAGGCAATAAAAACAGATGGAACATAATTAGAGGAGAGATGTAAAACCTAACAAAGAGTGAAGGACAAAGGAAGGATGGTGAAAATCTACTTGTAATTTCCCTTTATCTGTACACCTAATATGTAAAAGTGCTTGAGATTTGTACAGTGTGTGTACATTCATTTATTCATACATCAGCTACAACCCAGATTGAAAGCCATTATACTGATCAGTTCGAAGTCATAAACAGAGAAGTGACGATGTTGGAGCTGAGTTGCTAAACATTGAAAATGGTTGTATGGAAATTTTAGCATACACTGATTTCAAAGCATCTAATTTTCTTACTGCTGGGGAAAAAAACACACCAGTGTACTCAAACCCAGTATGACTCAGACTGGTCTTTGTGCATGCAGTATTTGCTTCTACTGTTTGCCTGTCCACTCTCTGTAGATAAACTTTGACCCAGAACTGTACAAAATGACACATAATAATTTTGTGGCAGCAGCTACATAAGGTCAGTTAGCCATCGTTACCTGCATCAATATATCAAGCTACATCCCTCTGAAATTGGCGTCAAAACCACCCTTACCTCACAGAGATGTGAGAAAAGACCATTGCATGTGTTACAGTGTGTGTAACACATTGAAATGATAAACTAGTACCACAGGACAATGTCATTAGAAATGCACTTTACATGTTTGCATTTTGATTCGATATTTTCATTCAGTTGAAAAACAGTCCAGCCAACCAACAACTTTTTGAGGGAAAGAGGGCAGGTGTGGTGCAGAGGAAAAGACCATGCTTTAAGTTTAGAATAGAGACATTCTTCCTCAGATCATTATTCACATCTTTTTGTATTTGAAGTGCAGCAAAATCTCATATCTGGTGTTCGTTTCTTTTCAGAACAGATTAATTAAAAGATTAAGAGACAGATTATAAAACCATGGGGCCTGAAATGCATACTGTCCAAATTTCCATCGCTATGTCTAGGATTTTTCATTTCCTCTCCAATTATTATTGCAATGATCTGTTGGATTACAGTCAGATTTAATATTCTTCATTCACATATTGATGTCCAGAAAACACTATATCAAAATCAGAATGGATTAAATATGATCAGTGATCATTGGTGCTCAACCGAGGTAAGTTGGACATTTACAACCCGCTCGATTCAATTCAAAGATGTACTGACTGTCATACGAGTGACTTTTAACCGAGACTTTGGACTGAGATTCATCCCTTTTTCACAGTTAGTTCTGCTGTGGTGTCTGGGCTAAGTATGAAAAGGATTTGTGACCTTTGTTTTTGGAAGGTGGATAAAGCCCTTTCCCTTATTTTCTAGTTCCACAGCTGGATTCGACATTTAGAAACATTTCAGCTAAGAGTTTGGATGTAGACTGAGGAAACATGTCATCTCTTTTTCTGTTGATAACTTTGAGTACTTTGATTTTTTAAGACTTTAAGTGATAAAAAAGCACCCTTAGAGGTGCAGTCATTTTCAATAATTTAGATTATTATTCGGACCTCTGTATACAGGCATCATTTGACATTTTTGTAATGACAAAGGCATGGTTGAAAATAACATTGATCCACACACTTTATTTGACTTAATTTTGGAAGAAGACACTTGAGTGTACGGTTACATTTGTCTTTGCTTTATAGAAAAAACTATTTCATTTTCTTGTTGACACTTACCATCACATGTATCTATTTACTCTAACAAGAATTCTGCATGCTTAAAATCACATTCTCCATCTTTTCTAAACAATTAAAAATAGTGTAAAGAAGATAAAGGAAGAAGGTTCAAACACCTCCTTTTCCTACCACAGTTTTATATGGCTCTTACTGCGTGTTGAATGTAACGTACTCATGCCAACGTGTTATATCAGCTTCATTATAGAGCTGATCAAAAATGTAACTAAAAAACGTTTTCTGGATATGTCCCTTCATCTCGGCTGTCCCCTGTGCACAGTATCTTTATACAGTATAGTGAACGTGGCTCAGTGCTTTATTTAATGCCATTATTTAATTCCTACTGAACACATTTTTATGAGACAAGCAGCTGCTGAAAATGAGCTCTCAATTCTTCTTCACCGCCTTTATTAGTTTAGTAATGTTCACTCGCACCTCAGTTCACATTTCACAGTAATAAAACATAAGCGACACAGTTGGCATGCTTGCAGGACAGCAGCTGTTGATGAGACTGCTCTCTGAATGTGTGCTCTCGTGTCTACTCTAATTTTATTGTGCATGTTTGGGCAGATTTATGATGTTGCTGTTTTGTCTCCTGATTTCTTCATACTGTGTAAGTACTAACAGCTTCTGTTTTTGGAACATTTGCCGCATACATCATAGTTTTTTTAAACAAAATTTACTGCCAAAAAACAAAACAAAAAGAGCCTTGTGTAAATATGAATCTGTATTGATGTAATGGTCTAAATGTGTGAAATGTCACCGGTAGATCCACAGAACACACTCGTTTCATGGTAGCAATGAAATCGTTTTTTGCTCTGCTGAGCAGCTACTCAGAGCACTTCTGTGTCTGACCTCAAGCTCAGTTACACCATAACTCCTCTCATTATGGTCTTAATGGGCCAATCAACAGCATCCAGGCTGAAGGCACATCTTCATGGTTGGGTTTTTAATTCTCTACCCATATTTTATCCATCCATCCATTTTCTGAACCGCTTATTCCCAAATGGGGTTTTGTCATAATAATAATAATGGGGGGGGGGGGGGGGGGCTGGAGCCTATCCCAGTAGTCAATGTGCGAGAGGCATGGTACATCCTGGATGGTCCACCAGTCCATCACAGGGCCACACAGAGCCACACAGAGACACACAAAGACGAAGAGCCACGCACACTCACACTCACTCCTAAGGGCAATTTAGAATGCCATATTTTATCATTCGTGCTAATTATTTGTTGCTGATAATTTTCCCCTTTACGTTACTGTTCCCCACTGTTTGTCATTGCATTGTCCATTGAATGTTAATGTAAAAAAAATGATGGTGCTGTTTACCTCTGAAGGGGATTCACATGTTGCATCTGCATGTAAGTCGCTATTTGTGTAGGCATATTATTGTCAGTGCATTATCAAAGTTCAGGACCCAATTGACTCCAAGTCCATTGAGACTATGTCGTCATTTTGTTTGTCACGCGGGAACCCATCAATGCCTACATCTTTTTGGGGACAATTAGGGAGTACTAAATTAGCGTTGAAAGGGGGGCATAGAGGATCGATAAAGGTGATGAAAGTTGGGCCAACAGGCACATCATCCTAATCAGGACTGCACGCACTCTCAGGTCCAGCCACACTATATGTGTCTGGGTATGTGTATGTGTGTGCTATGGTCAGCAGATATTGATGCAGATGTCAGCATGTGTTTATTTATTCATTATTCATAGAAACTTCTAGCTCAACAAATACACGCTCTGTTCTTATACACTGTTCTTAAGTTAAAACTATAAACTGCTGCAAACAAAATCCGAGCCAGTTTGGCACATCTTAACAGAGAGTTTGGGTAGAGAATGTACATCTGTTCTTGAAAGCACACCAACTAAATTACAAACTGACTCCAGGGCAGGTGCCAAAAAATGAAGGGTAAAAGGTTAGATGACCATTAAAGCTATTTTCTGGATTAGTATTCAGCCTCAGGGCTTGTCAGATAAATAAGTTAATACAAAAGGCTCTTTTGAATTATATGATTATATATTTATATCATATGTAATGATATCTTTCAGAGCTATATAAAAAATATTTCCAATGTTGTCACTTGTAGATCAAGATAACTGACTTAATCAATTAAATCAATAGGGAAAATTATATAAATACTCCATTTTTACTTTACCAGATGTTTTCTGTTTTCATTATTAGGAGCACACGAGTATTTTTTCATTCTGCTTGTTTTCTACAGGGTCATTGCAGGGAGAGCACCAAAGGAGGCTCTACAAAGAGCTGATGGCTAACTACAATCGATTAGAGAGGCCTGTGGTCAATGATTCAGCAGGTATCGTGGTTGATCTGGGCCTGACGCTGCTCCAGATCATAGATGTGGTGAGAAATCGTTTTTCATTGGTATACAAAGGAATGATACACTTTTGATGCCTTATTAAGATTCTGACGTACACTAGAGTTATTTTTTTTAAATTGTTTGCTCTACAGAAGCAGTTTCACATGAAGATTAAATAATAGTGTTTTGTGTTAATGTCAGTTTGACACCAGGTCAAAGTTCCCAGTGTCTGAGCTTCTTTTGTAATAAATCAGTAATGATTATCTGTCTGAGTTGACGGCTCAACTCACTGACCAGATTGTAGTAAAAACATCTGTTATTTTCTCAAACTGTGCATTTGTGAGTCAACTTCTCCAGTGCAAGGAGACAATTCAGTGCACCATGTTTTATACCGACCAAATGTCTGACCTCATTTATCAGGGCAGTTTTTTTTTGCATGAGTGTTTTTCCCACAGGGGTGCATGTTTTCCACAGGGAGGAACACTCTGAACGGTTGGATGTCTTTGTTCAGTATAGTTATATCATACTCTGTCTTAAAATGTAAGAGTGATACATACAACACTCAAATTCTATAGATTAGACTCCAAATGACAAGCCGTGGTTGTTACTCTGCGGGAAGAAGGTGGCATTGTTGGCTGCCCTTCCTGTTGCAGCGGTGCGTGTACCACCCACACTTTCTGTCACTCTTTGGACATGTACCAAGACCATCTTGTCCATACTGCACCCTCCAAACTAGGTCAGCATTCTTGAGAGGAGATTTTTTCAGTTGAACAGACTCATTTGGCCATGATGTCTATGTTACTGCTGAAGTGATGGGTGCAGTTGTCTGGCTAACATTTGTGGATTCCAGAGAAGTCACATCTTACCTCACCAAGGCATAATTGCCATACAAATGCAAAAACAAAAATTATTCTGCTGCTGTAACTCTGAGTAAAATATATAGATACTCATTGTCAGAGACCTAATCGTAAAGAAACCAACTGCTCTCTTTAGCTTTTGAACCAGGGAACTAATTAAATCCAACCACCTATGTGTTTAAAAATGGAATTGTGATTTTCTTTTCCATTTTGATCTAAGTATTCAGAAAAGCTTAAAAATTTCCTGAGCTAAAGAAACTGAAATCCTAATCCTTGCAGAACTGCCAGTTTCTTCCCCCAACCAGAAAAAACAAAAACACAGAATTTCCTAAATCCTTAACTTAAATAAACTTCCTCAGTGTTCAGACTATGAGTTGAAAAAAAAAAGTTTTTGGTGTGTAGCAGATATATAATGGAGAACATTTTGGTAAAATCTTTGGTTGTTTACTATTTCAACACGCAAATCTCTCCAGAGAATTAATTAAGATTACAAGATAGTGTCTTGCTTCATTTTAAATTCTTTGCTGAATAAATGTCATGAGTATGCAACATTGAATACCAATTTCCACTGTTTCCCTGAAACAAGGACCCATTGTACACTTGGACGTTTCTGATTCTAATTAACCTTTTTTAAGTGTAATTGTTGTTGAATCAACACACATTGATAAATCATGTTTGGTTTTAATGTATTACATTGTCGTAGTTGTCTTTAAAAACCAGCTGGATATTTTTCAGTACATCAATGATGCTCGAACCCACAGGAACATCCAGGATTTCTGTTGTTTTAAGGGTTTTAAGCTTGTCCCGCTGTGATGCCCTTAAACAGAGCTACACTTTGTCACAATGAACCAGATCTTCTGTGTTTTTCTGCATTGTTCTCCTTTAGAAATGCAAAGCAGCTGCACTCACTTGCTGATGATAAAGGCTATTCCCACATTATTAAATATGGATTGGTTTACTTTTCTGAAGAAAAAATAAACTTGTGTTTAACTTTCCTTCTTTTCAGGATGAAAAGAACCAAGTGCTGATGACCAATGCCTGGCTGCAGCTGGTGAGTCAAAGTTAGAGAGGAACACATCATCACCACTCTACTGTGACTTTGTTGTATTACAGAAGCATTAGTCGATCATGTTTCATAAATTACTCTTATTACATTAGTGAAGTAAAATTTTAGAAAAAGTACATTTCTCTCTTAGTTTTTAGACTTGCTTAAAGTCTCAAATGGTCTGTTTATCACTCAGTTCTTCACATATTTGTTTCTTTGAAACTATGTGAAAAGGTAAAAATCTCAGAAAAACACCATAAAATCGATTGGATTTATTGGTGCTTTTTTTAATATGAATACTCATGACTATAACATCACCGAAGGTGAGATACTTATTAGAAATCAGGAGACATTGGCAAGTCTGAGAATGCTGTTTATACCACAGCGTGATCAATTTCACAGGCAGGTCTTCAGCCTCAAGACAATTTATTCTGAGCATCGGTTTATTTCAAATGTTTTGTTTGGCACTTAAATCAGGTCTTTGGAAAGTTTGTATTGCATTAAAAGAAATGATGGGTTTTCATAAAGCAGGGGGTGAAAATATCTAGCATATTATCCAACAGTGTTTTTATTTTAATATGCTTGGATCTAAGCTTGAAAGAAAACTGCATGAGATAAACAGCAGCTCCTTTACCATGGTGTCTGAAAGTGATCGTAGGCCACATTTTTTATAAAACACAATTGTATGTGTTTCTGATTGGAGAAACCTTTACAGGAATAGAACCGTTCCCTCCATCTTTAATCAGCAAACTTTTTTGGAATGTTTTAGATAAACGACTGTATTTTCACTTAATCAGACACTTAAATATTGGTCCTTCATAGTGGTCCTGGATATCACAAAATGAATCAATGTGATTAATTCCATCATCTTATTCTCAGTATTGGACAGATGCCTACCTGAGCTGGAATCCAGAAAACTACCCAGGTGTTCAGAACCTTCGGTTTCCTTCAGACCAGATTTGGACTCCTGACATCCTCCTTTACAACAGGTCAGCACTGCCACTTCAGCCTTACATGGGATTTTTGGGGATATTTTTAGAATATTCTCCATATTTTCCAGGAGAAAAAAATATATATTCTCAGTCCTCTTCAGAAAATAGAAACACTCAAGACACTTTTTTTTACAGAGTGAATTGAATATCGTAAAATTACTTATTTATAGCACTACTCTTTAAATCAGATATCGTATCATCAGAAATCACTACAGGAATGTTTTAAGCCTGAAGTGCTAAAAGATCGCAACCAATCAAATACAAACCCAGTCACACAGACAATGTTTTACATTACAATTAATCAGTGTGATATACGCAATGGAGGATCCACATGAAAATAATTCTACTCATTTGCACAACAAGATTATATTTGGAAAGACAGAGAGAAATAGAAACTGCTCTGGTATGATTTAACACTCCCTCCATCATCAGTCAGTGAGTGAATTACTGTTATTTGTCCTAAGATGCTTGTTTAGTCACTTATGTAATGTAATTGCAGGGCGAAATAGTTAATCCCAGAATGGTGGGATCCTGTTGTCCTTTTTACATTACATTAAAACTAATCAAACAAACTAAATAATAAGAATTGTGGAGACAAACAGTAAAAGCTTAGGTCAAAATCTCCATTTTTCTACATGAGACTTCAGTGAACATGCTGCATCTCATAATTCAGGTCAGGCTGGCGCTTTTTTTCTGGCTTCTTTATCGGGTCAATTAAAGATTCAGACTTGTTGTTTTTCTCCAAAACAGCTAATTGAATTGCATATGTATGCCTTCATCAGAGACTGATGTTTGGGTTTGGGGGGGATGAACAGATTCAGACAAAGACAGTTGCATGAACTTAATATTTTATAAACGGATGGATGAACTTATTTGAACTTTTCATATTTAGCTAAAAAGGGACATCTTTGCAGGTAGTCCACACTGATATCAGTGACAGAATATTCCTTGATGTATCTCTCTATGTCTGATTTTCCCCAGACCATGCATACCAACACACAGTAACACACCACATCGAGCACGTGGATGAAACAAAGGTTGGGGAGTATTAACCCAAATTTTAAAAGCTTAGCTTTTAGAACTACCAGGATTACCTACCATAATCTGCTCTGACGGTACATTACAGTCAGTGCTGACCATTGTGACAACATAGGTATTTTGGTCATAAACCTGTGATAAAAACTGTCAGATAAAAATGGACTGAATGCCACAGTTCTGTATTTTTACCTAAGCCTCCACACCTCCTCTCTGTCCCTCGACTCCACCCTATACGACCATCATTCTTTTCTATTTTTGTCTCCCCCCATCTCTCTTTCATAACTCACCTTCTCACCATAATTCACTCTATTCAATCAACTTCCCTCCTTATTATATATATCCATATATATTTCCCAGCCTTCTCCAACTGGCCATAAATCACCTTTGTGCCTACAATTGTCCGTCAAAGTGTCAGCGCTTTAGTTCGCCCACCCCTGATGGTTTACCGGTCTTAGTGTGGCTCTACGACCTGCATAAAGATATGAAACGATCTGATATTTAATAACGCATTAAAACACATGGAAATGCTTTTAATTTGTTCTTAGAACTTAAAGAGCCCACCTCTTAGAGGGCATTTTATGAACACGATAATTGGTCTGTGTAGTTTATTGCATTTAGAAAACATAACTGTTACAAAAGTATTTTAATCATAGGAATGAGATCCATATTGACTTTTAGTGAAAAGAAGACTGTATCAGTATCTCTTAGCATAATTATTTTCTTTGACAAAAAAAAAAACTATGTTGAATTTATGCAAATTACTGACCATATGGTAAAAGCACAGTAAAACTTGCAGTTTTAATTGGAATGATCTTTGGCTTTTCATCTTTTGTTGAGGTGAGGTTTGTAGAGAGGAACAGATAAGATTGAGTTATACCTGAGCCACAGGGTTTACTACCCCTTTGAGGAACAATTAACATGTGCTTCTTCAGCAGTAATAGTGATTGTTGCTGTAAACTAACCTAAGTACTGGAAGAACATGCCTCATCACACTAAATGTCAGTACAAACACTTGCTCAAAAGCTGTAAAAAGAAGCATCAAATTAGCATCAAATTAATTGATTTAGGTGAAAAAACTATTTACTGAACATCACCCCCAACACACACACACATACATACACACACACACGCATTGTATTTTAATACAATTACAGAGAGTAATTTTACGACATACATCATTACACAGTGAGTCATCAGTGTGCAGTTAATAACAACAACAGTGTCACAACGCTGAGCCACAACAGATGCAGTTAGACTTATTATGCCACTCAGACAAAAGCTCTAAATCGACTTTTCATTTCTACAGTTTTAATATAAAGTTAATGGTGTTTAGGGAAGCTTGGGGTCTGTGCAGGAAGTTATATTAATTTCCTGTTGCATTGTGGAATTGAAAAATCCACAATTAGCTTAGATTGCCTTGTTCCATTGTGTCCATGTGAATGCATATAAATGTTGGTGCAATTGAGCGTGTTCCTCAGTGGTCAGTGGTGCCCTGTAAACACCAACTGACAATGTTTAGTGCAGTTCAGCAAAACTTAAAAAATGAGGATCAATGTCCCTTGGACGGTCTTTCCTCTGACTCCTTTTACTTTCACGTTAAACTAGCAACACTCACTCTCAAGGATAAATTTCACTTTGTGATTATTTGATGCCATTTATTAAGTAAATAGACACTTTGAGGTAACAAATTACCGGACACATCTTCTTTTCAGTGCTGCTGCAAAATGGACACTTTTTCTTCTTGTGGCCATTACCAGCTGTATAACCTTACAGATGACGGCATGCTATGTTTATACATTTGCACATAAAACTGAATTAAATCCAACAGTTTCTACTAAATAAACATTTCACCAGTATATTCTACCCATGAATAACTGCAGGTGAATGATACATAATTTTGTGACAAAAATTTCAATAATGTATCATATTAATTCCGTTATTTAGATATCACAAAATGAAATATTATATTTTCATATAAATCACTGTCTCCCAATAAGGTTTTTTGCTAAGCTAATTTACAGTGTTGGTCATGCTTTTGCCATCCTCCCATCTATTCCGCTGGGGGGAAATTAGTTAATCATCATCTTTGCTTTTGTTTCGTGATTGGAAAACATAAACTTCTAGCTCTAATTACTATGTGTCAGATGGCATGATAGACTGACTCAGACTGATAAGTGGGGCATTGCATTTCTTGCTTTTTTTAAACAACACTGATAAACCAGAAAAAGGTCAACACAGTATTTAGCGACTGATTTAGTACAAATTTAAATCACAAATCTTAAAGTTACATTTTTCAAAAAATACAAACACATTTGACACTGACTGATATATCTCCCAGTTTCCCTCCAACTGTAAACTCTACATTGGCTAATGCTTGTCTGCCGTAATGTCTGATGATGATGACTGCGTGTTTTTAGGATTTTTGATTATGTTTATGTGTGTATCAGACCAACATAGCTTGGAGAAGGTGCTTGTATACAGAGTTTAAATCTCCAAACCAACCATGCAAATATCCTAACTCCTCTTTCGTTCACGGGAAAAGTCAATGATCTCACTTGACTGGGGATCAATGAGGCACACAAAGGACACCCAGCTCAGGTAAACACCAGGCTGAATGCTAATCCTGTCAGAGGATAAGGCGGGCATGCATCGTAGGACACATAGGTGAAGAGGAAGCCAATGGAATAAATAAATCTTAGTTTTGAATGATTTCTTATAATGGACAAGTGATGTGATCAGTCACAAAGAATTTCTAAAAACTTTAGAAACTGTTAGATACAGATGTAAAGCATGTCTTCAGGGCTTGTGTGCATGTTTACAAATGTTGGTGTCAAACAAGATTGTTTAAAACTTGAGAAATGAACATTTCTTGTGCATTTGAGACTAAAATCAAGCATCACTATAAATAACGACAAGCCCTTTCTGCATACGTTTGGTAAAAATGTCCTGAGATTGAGTTTTTGGATTAAATGAGCAGACACAGGATTTTCTGATAACAGGTGAAACCCTTACAGAGGTCTCCTAATGAATAAAAGTTTCTCCTTTTTGATAAATGGCATATTTCAATCTGTTTATTAATATAAAATCCTGTAGTTTTTTTAGAACAAGAGGATTATGTAAGACGTCATTGTCCTGACATTCTTCATCCTGTTTTTCCTGGCTTAATGATGTGATGAACACGGTCCATTCAGTTCTGCTCACATATGTCCATTTGTGTATGGCTGTTTTCCTGGAACAGACATGTTCCACTGTAAATTGGAAACATGTTGAGGATATGCGTGCAGTTTCCTTGCCCAGCTAGTTAATTTCAGCAGCTTCGGGCTGTCAAACATAACATGTGATGTCAGCATTCTCTGAGGCGGTTTAGAGTGTGGTTTATTTCATAACTTGCACGGATGGATGGGTCTTCCCATAATGCCTTTTCAAGTCTGAGCCTCTGTCCTCAAGTAGCTGTCAGCAGGGAATGGCTTAAAGCTTCAGAGATGCTGTTAGTCTCTTCCTCTGGAGAAATGCGCACTCTCTTTTCTCATCGTTGGGATTTGACAAAACCAGAAATAAAGACAAACAGGAAAATAGTATGGCATAGAAGGCATTCTAACGTGTTTTTTCTCACTCTTTCACTTCTGTAAGTCTCACTAGAGGCTTCCGCAAAAGTAATAACCTGAAATGTGCACCATGCTTTTGTTAAACAAACTGACTTTCATGTAAAGTCGACAGTTTCATTCTTTAAACTGTCAACGCTAACTTACCATACTAAACAGTTTTCCTATACCCTCATGCTCAAAACTTTGTGGCTTTCCTTTTATTGTCACTGTCTGTGTGCGCTTGTGTCAGGGTAGCGTCAGGTGTGGAGTGAGTACTGACTCATGTCCCATGGTGCAGGAACCTTTCACTGCCGCCATTGTTACGGCCATTCAGTGCCTGTTTTCTTCCTGCTCTACCCCGACATGTCCACAGTGCCTTTTCTCCTGTGTGTGTGTGTTGGCCACAGACGGCCACTTTCCCATCCTCCCAGGGATATCACTTGCCCAGTTGAATTTTTAATATTATGTGTACATAGCAAAAAGCCCGTCATGCACATGTACGTTTACATGCCCTGTTCTGCAAGTTCATATTGCGCAAGATGTGTTTGCTTTAAATGAATAATTCCATGAGAGCAGGACTGACTGTATGGGGAAGGTATGAAAAAGAAATGTAGCAAAACTAATGCCTAAGATGAAAAGTGCAATTACACACAGCATTAACGGGGCGTTCCTCCTTACATAAACTCTCACTCCAGGACATGTTCTGCTTAGAAGGGTGCAAGTGCCGATTGCAGGGAAGCTCACACTTTCAGATGAAGTAAAGGCAAAGCCTGAATAATTTATTCATTGGTCTGCCCACATATCCACGCAACAGCACCTGGAGACATAGCTGATAGCAGAAAACAGAGTAGAGAAATAAATTAAATCACTTAACCCTCCTGAAAACATAAATCTGTCAATCTGAGACAAGGCACAGACAAATAAAATGTGGCCAGTCTACAAATTCTGTTGAGATGCAGACCGTGCTCCTTTGTGCGAGCTGAATGAGGTACCAGGATGTTGCTGATATGTCACTGTTATCTTCCTCTCTGAGCTGTACGTGTTGATACATGTGTGTATCTTTAGAGGCACTGCTTGTGCCCTATCATGAATGTAGAATTCAGTCGGAACTCTTCGGTTGGTAAAAGACTTGTCAGAGTTCAAAAACGCATTCATAATCGCTGTACTGAGAAGACCGGTGTCAAGTTAAGGGCAAAAGTTTGGAGTTACTTCTAATTTCAAGGAATCAGACTTGGTCTTGAGCAGTAGTTCTCCAGCCTTTTTAATTTTAATAGATTTTAGGAATTTGTCTAATCTTAAATAAACAGAAATGGGGTCAGAGATATTATTAGCATTCTTATATGTATCTGTATGTGATTTAGCATGTCTTCCTGAGATTTTCCTAAATATGTGTTGCATATGAGAAAAACATTAGAATATTTTTCTTATGACAGTATTTTTTTTTCACCAACTTGGCTTGCAATAAATGTATTTAAAAAACAAAGAATGGGGGGAAAAATAAAATGTGTTTGTTTTGTTTTCTGTTTTTGTCATTTTCAAATAAATAAGAGGTGATGGTTAAAGAATTAATGTTTAATGACTTACATGCCCTATCAACCCTTATTTAAACAATGATTATGATAACTTCAGTCATTTATTTCTGATATTATGCTTTCTTTTTGCCCTCAAAATCTCAACTAGTTTTTTTTTGTTTATTGCATTTATAAAATAATTGGAGCTTGGAATGTTTTCATACAATACATACATCATAATATATTTAGATTTTTTTCTTATCAAACCTCTTTTTCTTACCTTACCTAACCTCATTTTGCAGTATTAACACATTTATCTCCCACAGCAGCCTGGGGAAGTTATTATTTATTTCAACCGTATGAATACACAAATGGGTTTATGGGCGATGATGTTTTGCTGCCACTTCTTTTTTATATAACAATGTTCTGTTTGTTTTCAGATAAACTTTGCATCATCAGTTGAGGTGCATACCCTTGCCTCTGTATGTTACTATCCCCTGGAGATTTACAGTTACTTTTACGCAGAGCAAGATCTTTCATCTATCCACTTACTATATTGCTTATTCTTAGTAGGGTGGTGGTGGTGAGGGGGGGGGGGGGGTGCACTTTATCCTGGTTCTCATTGAGTGAGAGGCTTGGTACACCCTGGACAAATCAGTCTATCACAGGTCACACAGAGACAAACAACCACATAAACAGTCACATTTACTCCCACAGGAAATCTAGAAGCATCAGTTAACCTATCGTGCATGTTTTTAGACTGTGGGGAGGAAGCTTGAGAGAAGCCACTCATACACAGTGAAAACAGGCAAACCACACACAGAAATGTCCTCAGGGATTCGAACCAGGAAGCCTCTTACTGTGAGGTGACAGTACAGCTCCCAATTTCTTTCAATATGAAAATATACCACAATAAACTTTATTTTCTACTTTTGCTGGACAGCCAGAGTTTGTTTTCTTCCTTGTGCTCCCAACTGATAAAACTCAGAATTGCAGTGGAGAAGGATATATAGTACTTTCTGAAAGTCATTGCAGTGAGATGTAGGTGAGATGTGTACCTCTCAGAACACAGTCTCACCCACACTGACAACCTTTTGATTCTTCATTAGAGTTCAACCAGAGTTGAAGCAGCAGAAAATCCTGTGCAGGAATTTTCTTTGAAATGGTATCTACTAATAAAGATGCAACTTAGTTAAGTAAGATTAACGTGACATAAACATTTGAGATAATGATATAGAAGCAGAAACTAAAGGTTATCCACAAATTGAAGCTAAAGACAAATCCTTTTAAAAAAAGGGTTAAAATGATTGAAAGCATACTTTTCAAACAAGGGCTGATCATAAAGTCAGTCATTAAAGTGTTTGATTCTCTACTTGTAGTGCGGACGAGCGGTTTGATGCCACATTCCACACCAACGTATTGGTGAATGCGTCGGGTCACTGTCAGTACATCCCCCCTGGCATCCTGAAGAGCACCTGCTACATCGATGTGCGTTGGTTCCCCTTTGATGTCCAGAAGTGTGACTTGAAATTTGGCTCGTGGACACACAATGGCTGGCTTCTGGACCTGCAGATGCTGGATGTGGACACATCAACTTACATACCCAATGGAGAGTGGGATCTTGTGGGTAAGACTTGTGTTTAACCCGTGTTGACCAAGAGTACAGATGAAAAGGGTGATTGAATACTCAAATGATCTCCGTGTAGATTATTTTCCTTCTAATAATATGAAATTCTCAAAAAGCCACAAATGATTTTTACAGAAGGGAGGTTTCCACAAGGGCCCTTAAAGGAGATCAAAGCTAAAACTGAAAAGGATTTTTTTTTGTTAAGATTACAGAAATCATAGCCTCTTACCTCTATCCTTGTTCCCGGCTGTAACCACACTCTGTCCGGGCTTTGACTAACTTCCTGTTTTCAAAAAGAAATTGAATTCATTCTGTTATTAGTGGGATTCACTGTGGGACATCACTTGGACAAATATTGCAGGAGAAAAACATAAAAGGACCATTTCTGGAAACCTCTCAAGAAAAGTGTTTCCAGCTGGGTCATTTTAGAAAAAAAATCCTGGATTTGGGGCCCGCTGGGTGTCAGTTAGCTGGAAATGAGTGTCAGACACGACCAGTTGGCATGAAATTGGAATGCTTGACACATTGGCAGTTATATAGCTATTCCATTCTTCAAGTACTTCAACCCAATTTTGAGTCTTAGAGTTGAAGGGGAGAAAGTTCCATTATCAAAAGATAATTCTGCTTCTTTTTATTTCTTTCTCTCAGCTATAACTTTTTAATATAAAGTTGAGATAAAAACAGGGAAAAGTTCCAAGCCTGTTCTGCGTCAGATACATTCCAATAGAATGTTTTCAGGGTGGAGGAAACAAGATTCAGTTCAGTGAAGTGTTTCTAATTTTGTCTATGAAAAATGCAGACTCATCTTTATCTTTTCTAATTCTCATCAGTGTAGTCATCACATAGATAGACATAACATCCATATTACTATAACTATACTATGCCAGAATGCATTTGGGTGGTTTTCATGTTCCAGCATTTTATAATCTTTGAACTGATTCACTTCCTGTTTCCACTAAAATGCAACCACTTGTGGGTTTCTCCAACAGGTGTTCCAGCCAAGCGTAATGAGCTGTACTATGATTGCTGTAAGGAACCCTACCCTGATGTGACATTCACAGTCACTATGCGACGCAGGACTCTGTACTACGGACTAAATCTGCTCATTCCCTGTGTGCTAATCTCTGGCTTAGCTCTTTTGGTCTTTCTTCTACCTGCAGACTCTGGAGAGAAGATCTCTCTAGGTAAGAGAGAGATGCTGAACGCATGAAAAGTTTACTCCAAAATAAAGGAAAGCTGCAACTTTCAAATAATTTTGCAACTGATTCCAAGGAAATTTAAGTATCTCTTTCCCAGTCTATTAGGGTCACTTTTTATATTTACATTATAGATACAAAAGCCAAGAGTTCATAAACGTCAAATCTATTTAGAATATGTAAATTACAAAATGTGTGGCGTGTCATCAGAGCAGTCTTCTCTGCCTGAGACAAGCTGATGACCAAGTGTCTGTCTTCAAAAAACAGTTAAAAAAACAGTTAAACCACCAGTTACCAGTTAAAAACTCAGTGTTCTGGGGACTACCTGAGCTACTTTGGAAATGTAATGTAATGTGGAGGATCCTCCAGTTGACAAATGGTCGTAATCATTAAAACTGATTACATACATAAGTAATTACAGGTATAATTTCATACACCAGTGACCCTGATCACATCATTACTTACAAATGTGCTCATGTTCTCTCTCCTCGTGTTTCTCCTCTTTATCTCTGTCTTAAGGCATCACTGTGCTGCTCTCACTAACTGTCTTCATGCTTCTGGTAGCAGAGATCATGCCAGCCACGTCTGACTCTGTGCCACTCATCGGTGGGTCTTATTTCTTACTTATTGTGGTTTTTCGTCCTTTAAGTAATTTAGAGATTATTCAGTGTTACCAGTGCAAGGACAGTAGTCACCGGTGAATAGAATATACCTCAAAGGCGTCTGTGATGGTGTACCTTCACATTCCATTCAGAGCTCCAGTTTTTTTCTGTTATGCATCATGTCAGCCTCCCTCAGTCAAGCTACAGCATGTGAAAGACGCCATGTGGGGTGTGTGGTCCTTTTATTCACAGCCCCTTGTAAGAAAATATTAATAAATTAATATCTTTTCAGTTGTTTATTCATATTCATATTTATTTATTTTTTTTGCTAGGTTTCCTAATCTTGAGTTCAAGAATGCATCTTATTCCCTTGGCAATTTCTGATGTTGCACACTGAGCAGATAGTTATTTCCCTTTCATGAACAAATGCCTGTTTATTAGGATTTAATTCATTCCTGCTAATTAAATGCCTGAAGGAATGCTCAAATGAAAGAAAGCAGTGAAAACTGAAATACAGAGCATTTTATGTCATTTTAAAAGTTTTTATTTTTTTTATGTACCCTCCAGCTCAGTACTTTGCCAGTACCATGATGATTGTGGGGATGTCTGTAGTGGTGACTGTCATAGTCCTGCAGTTCCACCATCATGACCCTCATGGAGGCAAGATGCCCAAATGGGTGAGTGACTTCAGCTACTAACTCAGATGATTATGATAGCATCTAGCCAAAACGAAGACTATATACCGTATGTTTGTTTTTTGTCTTTTTCAGGTTCGGGTGGTTCTGTTGAATTGGTGTGCCTGGTTTCTCCGTATGAAGCAACCTGGCGATGAGCGCAAGAGGCCTCAGCACAAGTACCGTCACCCCGCCCAGCATCTGTCCAGCACCAGCTCGATCGAGCTGGGCACAATGCCGAGCCTCACGGTGCCTCTGTCCCAGACGTCCTGCCCACCTTGCCCCTCCGGAACCTCCAACGGTTCCATGAACTACTATTTCGGCAGCTACCATCCAGCAGAAGCCCACTGTCCACCCTCCAGTGACTCCGGCGTCGCTCTAGGGGGGCGGGCTCATGGTTCCCTCAGCGATGAGACTGAGACACCCGGTGGCGTTGGTGTTTGCGGTCTGGGGATGGGAGCGGGACCTGGGATGGGAGTAAGCACCCCCCCACCAGAGATCCAGCGCATCTTGGAGGAGGTGTCATACATAGCCCAGAGATTCCGAGACCAGGACGAGGCAGAGGCCATCTGCAGCGAATGGAAGTTTGCGGCAGCAGTGGTCGACCGACTGTGTCTGGTGGCCTTCTCACTCTTTTCCATCATTTGCACATTCACCATCCTCATGTCAGCACCCAATTTCATCGAGGCTGTTTCCAAGGACTTCACATAACTAGCTGCTGCGGGATTGAGAGTAGGAAGAAGAAAATGTTTATGGACAAAGAAGAGATGGTAAAAGAAAGTTGAGGGGACTGTGGAGGATGTAATGTGTGATCCACAAACGACAAACTGAGCAACCCATTGATAGGTGGTAAGTTTTGTAGTCTCATCAAAAAGCGTGAATTTCATCAGAAACTTGTAAATAAATAAGAATATGTAGGCGCCGAGTCATGCCCAAAAAAGAAAAGAACAAAATGAATTAAACTCATGAGATATTAATGTAATAACACCTCCTCTGCATTTTTCTATAAACAATAAAATTCTTTTCAGATAATTTAAAACCATTTTTAAAGAAAAGTTGCAATGGAGAAAAATTGGAGGAGCATTTAATGCTTAAAATTGAAGCGCCTGATAGAACATCATGCAGATGGGTAGGTTTATTGTTAGTTGGTCAATGGCATAATTGGATATTTAAAGGGTTTATCTCACTTTAAATGTCTTTGCAGGTAAAAATGTAAACGTATTTAGAAAATATTTTCTCTCCTAAAATACATAGATTTTTAAAATAAATACTAAATGTAATTTTTAAAATCCTTAATCTAATCCGAATAAATTTACCTTTATATGTGTGAGAATGCCAAAATATTTGGACTCTCAGGCAACTATACATTCAAGTCGGACAAAATTTCTGTAGTTAAATCAGTGTTTCTCTGCACATCTCAGACATGAATCACACCATTCTGTTTATTTGGTCGTAAAGCAGTGTCCACGCTTGTTTGGAAATGGGTTTATGTCAAAGAAAACTGTCTTGATGTCAGATAATTGTTCTCTTAAGCTGAAAATAGGTTGAGCATACACACTGAACAGTAGAGACGCTGAGCAAAGCTCGGAAATTAAAGGAAATCTGTGAGAACAACAACATGTAGATGTACAAATCATTCCTCATTACAGGGAGGGTTATACTGCTACTAATTGCTTAATAGTTTGTAGTGTTTACTTCCACTTTAATTTGGAAAAACGGCTTTATATTTACAGTATATTCACGGCTTCCTCCTGTTAGTTGTTGAACCTCTGTGTGAAAACACCGTGTCAGTATAAGCTGAACCACCAAATGTTCCCTTTCAGTCTCCTGATATGGAAAAAGGTTTATGAAGTTAAACCAACCATAAAACTATGTTAGGCTAGTTACTAGTTATTGTGTAGATTTGTAAGGCATTGTATTATTAGTGCTTTTCACTGGCTTCTATCATTGTACTACTGTCTGCTAATTATTAAAAGCAGATAATGCATTCAACCTCCATAATTTAGACCTGTCGGTCAGAGTGCCAGGCAAATACATCATGTTCCAGTTTACCAAGAACATCCACATTCACATTTTCAGTATAGTTTGTGGTCTTCCTTAAAAGTGATTCCAGATAAGGAAAGGGAATAAAAGGGTGAATAGGGGGACAACAGGTTAGTTAGTTAAATGAGATGTTTGATGGATTTTAGTTGCATTTCCACAAAGCACTGACCAAAAGATGAATGATCTGAAACAAGCTGTAGCAAATGTTCAATATTATTTCACTCAGTTTCTCTTTCTTATCACATCTAACTTTCTTATTCTTCTTTTGCCTGTTCATTAAAAAAATGTAGCATCTGTAATGCTATGAGACATTCTTTGATGATGATTTGATGTCATGTATATTGTTTGAAAAGCACTGTGAAGAGTGGCATTTTTTAGTGTTGACCAGTAACATGAGTTATAAACAAATATTTACCTGACATCAAATTATGTACGGTACTATGTGTTGAGCTGTAGAGTACATTTATATGCTGTGAATATGCCATGTTTACGAATATTTCCAGTCTCACTCACCCTGTTCAGCTACTCAAAAAATATACATGGAGGTGGGGGATATAACTTTTTTTGATAAATAGATTCTTCTGTGTATATTCCTGGAATGGGAACACATGCAACTTAAATAAATGAGATATTAAGTTTATTAGGCCTGTGTTTAAGATGTGAAAAGAAGAATAGCGTCTTCTTTCTTCTGATGCATTTAACAAGTTATAATGGCAGTCTTTGAAGACACACAGTATATTAACATATTGTATATTCATGACACGAGTTCTTCCAACTAGCCAGTGATGATGAGGAGTGATACAACTTTGAAGCTCTGACTCCACTAACAAAAGCCCAAGGCTCAAAAGAGGACAGCAAACCTGCCTCCACTACTTAGATAACATGGTGTGGATTCATAAAATGCTCTACAGTTAAAAGGTTTATCTCTTATGTGGAGGCAGAAGGCTTTTTTGAAAGTGAATGAAGGTTGTAAGCGTGTTTACATCCACCACAACTACAGATTTTTGTTGTAGCTGCAGTCATTCATCTCTTAATCTCTTTCAGTCTGTGAATTTTTGACTGTCGTTCAATAAAAGACTATTTATTCTCTGTACAACAGGCTCACAATTATCTGTTTGGACAGTGTGTAAGGGATGTTAATGCTTATTTTCAGTTTAAAGCAAACAACACACAAACATAACATGATGAATAAACAGAAAGTAGTTAACCCAAATGTAAATAATTGCCAAAACCGTTTTTTTTTATATCCCAATATAAAGACAACAATCTTTCAAATAACCTGCTCTGCAGAATCGAAAGCATTCCTCCAAGTTCAGAATTTTACTTATGATGAAATGACAGTTACACATATAATTGAGCTAATCATATTTTATAGTCGTAGTCTCATAATATTTGACAGATTAACAGGATGAATAGAAGTTCAAGATTTTTGTTATACATACATATATATAATTTGAAAAAAGCCTGATTAACTTCTCCACCAGAATATTTTACTTAACTGTGATAGAAGATTACTAAGATTATTTACTGTCACAAAGCATGTTACAAGTTAACAAAAAGATTGTTATTGTAAATAAACTCTAATCTAAGTGGCATGTTGGGAAACCAAAGTAACTTATGCCTTCTTCAGCATGTCAGCTCTGATAATTTATTGAAGAGGGCTGGGAATAAGAAGACATGCAGAAGTCTATGACAGAGAAAGATGAAAGGACCACATCTACAAAGCAGCACAACATTTCTAAGAAAAAGATCTGTCAGTTTTCTAAACCTAGCCATGGATATGTAAGACATGGAATTCTATGATCACCCAAAAGTTGAAGGTTTGAATTAATCATCTGCTACTGTCCACATAAGCTGTTTCAGTGGTTACATATCATTTACCAGTAGAATCAAAGCGTGACGCCAGCTTGAATTTAACAGTAAAACAGTGATATCATATGAAATCATATTGAGTTACCTCCAGATTATATTGTTGTCGGCTACATTGCCACCATATGGTGTGTTTTCTTATTCTATTTATTATGGTTTACACCCGCCCGCAGCTGAAAAGCAAATGGCAGACACACAAACGTAATAAAGAACTTATGAACAGCCATGGAAACAGATTTGTTTCTGTTTATCACAGATTGAAATACTTATGATTGATAATACAAATAGGTACAAATAAATAGTGTTAATTTAATATTTTTCCATAAACAAGTAATTAAACCTATGATAAATGGAATGGAAAGTGATAAATACATGAAAAAGTTAGGGTTAACCTCAATTTTATGCCCCTGCCTGCTGCTGACCCAGCATTATTATCTGAAAGAAAACTGAAGCTCTGTGTGGGTGCTTTGTCTTCAGCAAGAAGATTATTGTTTGGTGAAATTGTGTGTTTCTTGTGGGTGGGGGAGATTTGTCTGTCAAATGTTATTGCTTCCTCCACACATCAGCTTTGAAGCACAGTTGCTGCGTGTCACCTGAGGCCACTACCACCTCCCTTTCTTCCTGATGTTTTCTTATCCTAACCACACTCTGACCACCAAGTGTCAGCAGGAGAATGGATAAAAAACAACCCTGTTTGGATTTTCTGGTCACATACTGTATCAGAGACACTGTCTCCCACTCTACCCCAGTCTAAAATCAAAACATAGTCATTTCTCAGTGTTGTAGTTAATCAGGTTTCTGGATGATCATCTGACTTCTGCTCACTTCATGTCCGTAATGACCAAATAATTCAAATTTTGAAATTTGCATGGAAAGATGCAATTCACAACTAAAAATGGACAGAATGGAAAAAAATATTGAAAAAACTAAGGTTGTTCTCTTAGAAACTTTCTTTGAGTTGCATATTTTTGATTATAAGAATTCAGTTATAGATTAATTAGGGGTTTATTTTGAGGCAAAAATCAAACAAAATATCATTACTCCTGCAATTTGAGTGGTAAAATGGCTTTTGGCTGGAAAGAGGTTCGTGCCATTCTCCTTTCCTTTGATTTGTACTTTGGTTGTCCTGACGAAGCATATAACCTTTTACATGACTCTTGCAAACTGAACAAAAAAAACACGAGTGGCACGTCCCTTGTAGGGGGCGTGGCACTGGGCCTTTTTCCCCTCTTTCCGCAGCCACTTTCGCAATGTATCTTTTTTTACTGAAGGTGAAAGGTGCACCTCCAGATGGGCTGCCCCACAGTCTTCCCGAACCCTGTGTGTCTATGTGTTTGTTGCTTTGTCTCATCTTGGATGGGTTGTACTTAAATGAAGAATTTCATTGTACGGGACACCGGAAAATGATTAATAATGAAGATTGATTGATTGATTGATTGATTGATTGATTGATTGATTGATTGATTGATTGATTGATTGATTGATTGAGACATGTAGATCCCCTTAGGGAGATAAGTCAGCCATAAAAAAAATAATAGTAATGACACAATCAAATAACTGAGCTCCAACTTTGCAAGTAAAGACAACAACCTGCCAAGTGGTGGTCTTGCCAAATTTCAAGGACAACCCCAGAAAATGGAGACCTCTTAAATGATTACAAGATACATTTAACCAAAACAAAGCGTTCACTCAGCTCAAGTTGAAATGATTCCAAAACCATAAACACTGATTTTAAAAAATCTTCTATTTAATATTGATGTTGTGTTCTTTCAGAGAGCGTAGCGCCAACAAATCAGAGGCTCAAGGTCCCACATCAAATAGCTTCACTGACAGTAAGGGAAGGAATATTATTAAGTAATGTACCCAATAAACCCACAGATCAACTAAACAGCAATACAATTTAAAAAAACACCATGACAAGCAGCAATCTGTACTTGAATCTTTCTCAGACTGACATTAGGTGACGCATGACCCATATTCTGCAGACATGAAGTAATCTGAGTAAAGGTACATTTGGATTATGATTCCGGAATGGTCTAATCTGACACACCTCAGCTGGTTGCCTGTGAGGTCGTGACTAAGCTTAAACCACATGGAGCTGTTATATAATGATCACAGTATCAGTTCCGTTAGCATGCTATCAGTGGTGTCTGTTATTTAGCATTCCCTTTGGCTGCTGTCCTTTCAGCAGCCCGTCAGTGACTCTCATCGTCTACCAGCTCTGCCACCAGATTTTAGTTGCAAAGACGAACGCGTCATCTCTTCCTGCTTGCATCATATGTCCTTATTTGTATTGCTTTCATCATCTAAAATTGTTTAGCAAGATACACCATATCCGTTAGATTGTCTGGTTAGTACACAGTAAAACTTAATAAAACCAGTTATGTGAATCAGAGGCTCTTCTCAGTAAATTGCACCGTTGTCTTGGAAATGTAATAATCAGTTCAATTCTATATCTGCTTCGGTCTTTACTCATCTGTTATAATGATGGACAGGCCTTTTGGGAATTCAGACTTTCATTGAGTCTCTGCCGATTCCAAACAGCATTTTTCCATCATTCTTGGGCTCCAGTCCTCTGGACAACAAAAACTGTACTAATGAAGCATGTTTTCTATTGTTCTTCACTGCCAACAGTTTTCTGACCATCTCTTTCAATTTTTTTTGCTTCTATCGGGGAGATGTGCTACATTTTTTAACATTCAAAGATGTGGGATGTCCACTGGATTGGAGCCCCGGGTAAGTAGAAAGTAGCCACTAAATATTAAATCTATCAAAACACATGAGCCACATGAGTACAATGGAACCACATGATTTTTAATCAAACACGAGAACACACGCTGGAGGCACAGAAACACAGGCACACACTTTTTTGCAGAGTTAATGCACATGTGGAGGCTTATATGCAGGGATGCTCCCACATTATCTTAACAGCAACTGACGTTTGCTTAACAAGGTCTGTAATGGTCCAGGCCTTGTGTGTATCCGTTCGCTAATGCCCCATACGTGCTCAACCCCTCTGCCTAATCACATTCTTTTCAATGTTTCACAGATTAACTCATATGAGTGGAAATAGAGCATCTCAATCATTGGACAATGCCATGCAGAAATGGTCACTCTGGGTTTGGAATTTATGTGACAGGAATATTAAGTCCTTTGTTTTACAAGAAAACAAATAATTTCTCAAAAAAGGCTGTCCTCCCTAAAATTTGCCCCTGTGGCATTTATTCATGAGGGCATAGATGGTCAACAATTACATTCAAAAGTATTTGCAGCCCTGATGTCACGTCACAATCCCACGTGGTCTAAAGCTCTGAGATTAGTTGCCTAGTCCATGCCCCTTCCTTCCTCTTTACGAGGAATTTGTGGCTTTTAAAGTAACACCAGTCATATCTCTCCTCTTCTCAGGGCAATGCTTTACAGGATACTGTTAACGAAAGACTGGAAAACAAGATAACCATATCAGTTGAAATACCTTTTTTAATCCCTCAGAACTCTATTGAAATACCTTCTGCTTCCTTAGAAGTGAGTATAAACTATGCACATTACTGCTGTTGACCTGAGATATTTGCACACACACTGCTTCAGTAGACTTGTGCCTTTAGGGTCAAGTGGCTGGCTTGGAATTAAAAAATTATAAGCAAACTGTGCAGAGCAGAGGAAAAACCTAAATAATATCTTGTAAACTATCGATTTAAATGAATTAGTCTTACTTTACATTATTGAGATCCTTTCCCTAACCTCTGAGATGTCAAATGGAAAGCTTGTGGAGCAACATTAAACAAATCTGTAAAATTAAGGTGGATGGCTTTACTTGAATGCAGTCTGGGGGCTGTGCTCACATAAAGTGCATTCGCTCAAGCTGTTCCAGAGCTAAGATTTACATATTGGCCCCATAATAATTAGAGATCATAAAGTGATCATTATGAAGCTATCAAACTGAAAATATTCCAGAGCCCGAAGATCCTTTGTGTGCAAACTACACAAGTTGATAACACTGCTTTGTAAATTCAACAGCTACTTGCATAAAGTCCTGATACGGATTCTTATTAACTTAGAAAATCCATGTTAGTTTAATCTTGACTCTGGAATAAATTATAACCATCATGGACAATCTATTTGCATCACCAACTAAAAATATGATCATAATGATTGGCTCAACATGTTACACAAGGTCTTTTGAATGGTTTTGCATTTATGTGGTTGCTTGACACCGGTTTATTTATTACATACACATGGACCTTACAAAAATCAAGTTGCATAAATTGAAGATTTATTTCTATGCCACATTTTAAACAAGCAAAGTGCTCCTCAAGCTATGAGAACACAATCAAAAATAGGTAAATCAGCAACTAAGTCCTGCTCAATCTGGAATGTGAATAAAAAGAGAAGAAACTGATTTACTTGGTGGAAAGACATTGATCTGTTTCTGGGTTTGGGTTTAGGAATTTTCTCATAGCAATTGGCTTCCACACATCAGTGGAGACTACAGAGTTTGTGCCATGCTGTTGGCAGCATGAAAAACAAGTCGTAAAAAATGAATCCTTATCCTAAAGTGATCTAGGAGCCAGTACAGGCACGATCTATTCCTGCTAACTATTTTCTGTCAAAAAAATAGTTTAATGTGTGTGTAATAACTTATTTTTCATCACTCAGGAGAATAAACAGGGCTGAGTTGCATGCAAGCAAATGATGAAATCACCACGCATGGAAGGTGTAGAGTTAGTTGTTCCCTGTTTATGGAGAATAAACAAAACAAAGAAGGGGACCAAACAAATACAAATACAAATTATCACTGAATATTCTGGCTTTGTGAAACATGAATATTCTGACAAAGTAGATGTAAGAAAATATGGAAAAACATTCAGAGTAAGATAAGTAGTCTTCTGCTAAATGACAGTGCTTTCAAAGCAAGCTGCAACACCTGAACGCCTAAAGCAAAAATCTTGAAGATGGAAGATAAACAGTAAAAATAAATCAACAATGAGCAGAAAAATGAATAACAATTCAATTCTCATTACTGTTCCATGAGCCGAGAAGAGGTTTGTTGATATAAAGAGCAGCACTTCTCAAAAGCTAAAAAACTCACTGATATGATATCATCATCAGATATCAATGAGACCCATAAAGTATGCTGGAAATTAAAAATCCTTTAGTTTGGTGAATGAAATCTACCATACCATATCTATGGTGGAAATTATTAATCATCCTGTCATGTGGTCTGTCAACTGATTTACAGGGAAAACTGGAACTAGCCTGTTGAGATATATACATTTATACACTGCTGGGTTTACTCCCTGATTCCAGTTTTTCAGCAGGTTCACTTCCCAAATAAAACTACTTTGTTGTATATCTCTGTTTTATCTTGTTAAACTAACAAAAAAAGTTGAGTGAATGTCCTCCATGTCTGATGGTCCGTTGAGTTTTGCTGGGGACGGCAAAAATCTTATCAATCAATAGATACACTAGTATGAGAAATGGATAAAAAATTTCCATTTGGAAATTTTAACCTTGATATCAGGTGACTAGCCTACACACACAACAGATTAGCAGATCTTTTCTGTTCTCTTCTGAGTCCTGCAGACTATAAATTAGCTTTGTATGGAGGCCGTTTTCTCCTTTAACAAGTGATGTGAGACATGGAGGTCATGAGGGTTGATGCTTAACGAGGATCCATAATAGTACATGAGTAGTTTCACATAACACTTTATCAAGGCAACGAGAACAGGACAGGAGAAAAATGTGTCCGTGAAAGGACCTTTACAACTGTCGATGGGCACACGTTGTAAAAATGTGTCTCGTAATCCTTGTGTGTGGTCGTGTGCCCAAAGTAACCTTTAGAAGTAAAACTCCTGAGTGACTTTCAGATCTTGAGTCACAATATGGGATTCTTGAAGCTGACATAAGTTATTAACTAGAGACCTGTTTACTTTACACAGCTTCTAATTATTCAAGAATTTGAGTGCAGAAGTGAGCACCTGCCCATCAAAGAGAAACCCTGTACTGATGCCTGCAGCCATGTGAGACTTTTGGCATCAGATGGTTTTAAGATGTTTAGTTTAACACGGCCCTGAGATCATAAAATTAACAGAAAAAAGATAAGCAAAAATTAGAGCTATGATTTCTCAATATTGCATGTGCTGGTAGAAGTTAATGTCTCCAATAACTACTTAAATCCAGTGTCATCTGGTGGCCATTCACTGTACTTCATCTGAAAAAGTAAATTTGCTGTCACTGGTAGAATAAGATAAATTAAACTAACAAAATCCCATTGTATTTATTGAAATGTCAGTATGACTATAATAAGTTTCACCTGATTTGGTGCTTTTTAAGTTTTTTATTTATTTAATTTATTAAAGAACAATATCACAGGCTTGGAAAAGCTACTTATCACTTTGTCTTTAGATGACAGTTTTATAGCTGGAAATATAGCTATATATATAGCTTTTTTATATTCTTGTTGGCAAAACAAAAAGTGTATCAAAACAGTGCATTTTCAAATGCTGAACTATAATTCTTGAGATCCAGACTCTCAGTGTCTCTCTTCTTCAGACTTCAGAAAGTCTACAAAGACCTCTAGATTTTTCACAGTCAGCCTAATGCACTTGACCACTACAAGACAGCCATCAAACAAAACAAAATGTCAAAACACGATGGGAAACAAAATAAACATTTTCTGTTAAAGACATCATCATATTACTTCATCACCAGCCCATAAATCCAAACGTGTCCCTATAACGCACAGAGAAAAATCGTACATTCATATCACACCAGTGTATTTTCTCATTCATACTTCAACATCAAGGTGCTCACAGCTCTTAAAGTCAGTGTGTGCTGTTATGTCCGGCAGGCTCGCATACAAAGGGATTATCAGGGCAGATTTTCAACCATGAAAGCTCCAATGTTATCATTATCAATGGTATCATTTCAAAACAGATGGAGAAAAGAAAATGAAGACAAAACTGAAAGATTTTTGGCTGTTGTATTATATACCCCTTTTTCAAGCACACTTCTGTAACACTTCTGTGCTGCTTTTCACTTATCATCTCCTGCTTTGTCCTTGCTCTTGTCCCGAGGCACGCGACCCATGTTAAAAAATTCCAGGTTTGGCCTCATGTCAGTGAGGTGGGCCAGCCGGTTGGACATGGCAAAGAAAGCAGCGATGGCAGCAATGTCCCAGGCATCCTCGCGGTCAAAGCCCACCTCCTCCAGAGACTCAAAGTGTTTCTCTGTGATGGTGTCGCAGCGGCACACAGCCAAAGCAAAGTCCAGCATGGCGCGCTCCCGAGGCGCGAGATCCGCATTCTCATAGTTAACAATGACCTGAAAGAAGGAGAAGGCTAATTAGGAAGGTGTGGATCAGATAGCAATCTATTCATTCAAAGAATAAACCTGAAAATGAAAACTCTATAAATGGAAAATAAGAAAAAAAATTAAATGTGCTTTTTTAAATTAGGAACAAACTAAGTTTAAATGCCATTTTATGCCAATATGGACTATCAACATCCAAGGTTTGAGCCACAGCTCTGCTATTTTCTTAATTAGCCTGATTCACATGGTATTTTGATTCTCAATGGCACTCACACTCCAATGAATTTAAATCAGAAAATGCATGAATTCCTGAAACATACCTGTATAAAGGTGGCATGAAAATAATTAATAAAGCAGAGACAAGAGGTAGAAATAATTAAAAGGTCGTACCTGATCAGACAGAGTGGGATTCTTTGAGTAGATACGATGCAGTGCACCATGGGACACCACACAGTAGAGACACCTGTTGTGGATACTGGTCACCACCACTATCAGCTCACGGTCTGCCTTGGTTAACCTGCCTGAACGTCGAGATATGTACATTTTAGGATATCTTCATGTCTAAAAGAAGGTCAGGAGGACTCAGGAAAAAAGTTGTCAGGTATCAAAAAAGTTTTGATACCTGACGACTTTGGAAGCCACTTTTTTCGGGCAAAAACACAGTTTTATCCCTGTAAGATTGATAGATACGTGCTATCTTTATTCTATAGGTAAAAAACAATCCTGGAGAACTATTTATCAAGACAACCTTAGATTATTTTTAAATCTGAGGAATGGCTATGACTATCGCAATGATGTGAGAATATGATTATTTTAACTCAGAGGTGTGGATGGTGTTGAAAAGATACAAAATGGCAGATTTTTAAAAATACCTCTGAGTGTTTAGGGGCAATTATGGGGTGGCTAGAGCCTAACTGAAAACACACCTGTCTCTTTGTTCATGAGTTCATTGTAGTATGCAAAGAAGGCTCTGAACTCTGCTGGTCTGTGAGAGAGGACCTTGAAGACATTGGGCAAAAAGCCCCCCTGTAACAAAGGTTTTTAGAAGGTTAACGTCAATCAACGCCTCAAATTTCGTTTTTGTCATTTATTTATCTTACCTTTGACTCCACTTCCTCCATGAGCTCAACTATGTCATAAGGCAAGTCCTTCCTGTAAGGAATTGGATAGCGGCTGATTTTCCCCGGAGGAGAGTCGCTGGAGGACTGTCTGGTCCCTGTCATCGCCACTACAGCCTCATGTCCCCGAAAAAAGCGACCCAACCGGACAGACGCCTGCACAGGGACCCCAGAAAGTCACATGTACTTCTCAGACACAGAGTCACAGCAAAGCTAGACACAACACCGATCTAACTAAAATAGTAGGAACTGCATGGGAGAACTTACAAATTGTGAACATTCAGGAGGACGAAACAACTTCAAGAGGATCTTGCTCGCCATATCGGTAAGCCGAAAGGAAGACTGGTTGGAGACTAACAGATAGCCCCCCTTTTCCCCTGGAATAGTTTGAAGGAAGTCAGACAAATCCTGATATGCATGTATAAAATGCTACTGCTAAATTGTACATGTGTAAGTCATTTAAAGACACCTAAACGATTGACAGTTCCTTTTTTATCGGCAAAAACCAGAACATCAGCGTTGATATTGACAGTCTATGGTTAGTCGTTTGTACGTCAGATGTTATGAGCCGAAAGAAGTCATCCAATCAAACTGCGTCTTTGTGTAACGCCTGTTGTTTTCCCCACCCCTGCGCACCGAGTCCTCCACCGGGCCAGGGGGCAGAATAGTGTCGGCCGATGCTAAGACTGTGCGTGTCATGGCGGGCGTTTGTATTTAATTATTTAAATACGTGCTAAAAATGTCACACTAATGAACATTTTACTGTAAATGTGATATAGTTTTATGGTGACAGTTCTCGATGACTATGCTTTTTATTTTGTTCTTTCGATAACAACAAAAACTAAATACAAATAAATAAATAGCGGAACTAGAGTTCACATATCACACTTCAACCCGGAAAAAACTTTGAAACGGACAAATAAGCGAAGGCTTTCAGGATTTTCATTCACCCCAGTAGGCTGAAAGCAGTTTACATAGAATAGCAAACAGGAATCAAGAGGGGGTTGAAAAAAGACTAAGATGTTTTATCATGTAAGTGAATATATTCTGCTTGGATGTGGGTTGGTTGATATTATTCTAAGGGTGTTTTGTTTGAAAAATTTTGCCCAGCGTGGTGATAGCTTAGCCAAACTTACACATATCGCCTCTGTGACATACTGCTTTTGGTTCTACAGCCTGTTAAAAAGAGAAGCTGATACTAATAAAACGCGCTGATGTGTGTTTACAGATTTCGTTGGAACATGAAATCTTACTGCATCCGAGGTATTTTGGTCCTAATTTACTCAACACTGTAAAACAGAAGCTTTTCACAGAAGTGGAGGGTACCTGTACGGGCAAGTGAGTCACTGCACGTCTTAGTTGTTTTGATAACATATTGTTAATGTTTTTTGCAAGACTTTTCAGGGCTACAAGGGTCTGTAAGTACATTTAAGATCAGTGGCAAACGATGCAGTTTAAACAGCAAGTCTTGACATTTCAAGCTAATATTGGGACTGTCTAAAATGTCATGACATTACACGTACATTTTCATATTTATATTCCCATCTGCGTGGAAGAGCTTAAACGTCTTTTTATTCACATGGATATATAAATAATGTGTGGATATTGTTGTTTTGCAGGTATGGTTTTGTCATTGCAGTCACCACCATTGACAACATAGGGGCAGGTGTGATCCAGCCTGGCAGAGGGTTTGTCCTCTATCCTGTTAAGTACAAAGCTATTGTGTTCCGCCCTTTCAAAGGAGAAGTGGTGGATGCCGTGGTCACTCAAGTTAACAAGGTATGAGTAATGATAGTATCTGGGAAGGGGAAAAAATATATATAAACCAAAACAATGTTCATAACAAATTCATTCAAAAAAATGTTAAATTTATTTTATTGACTTATTGATTTATTTATTTTTTTGCTTGCAGGTTGGATTGTTCACAGAAATAGGACCTATGTCCTGCTTCATCTCTCGCCATGTGAGCCAGTTTGATATCTATAGCTGGGCTTTACTTGTTTCTATTGGTAAACACTTGAGGTTTTTAATTGCATATTTAATCTTATCTAATGTAACAAAAATGTGTTTTTGCAGTCCATCCCATCAGAAATGGAATTTGACCCCAATTCTAATCCACCGTGCTATAAAACAGTTGATGAGGTATGGATATTTCAGTTGTTTAATGTTTCTGATTAACTGCTACCTGTTCAATGATTAATTTACTAAACTGTTACAAGACTAGAAATTAAACTGATATGAATTCTGATTGTATAGAAGTTCAGATGCTGCTTGTTCAGCCCTTACCATTTTACTGCTGACACAATTGACATTTAACAGCGTTTTCTTGTTTTCCTTTAAAGGACATTGTCATCCAGCAGGATGATGAGATCCGGCTGAAGATTGTTGGAACAAGAGTGGACAAGAATGACATTGTAGTTTATTATTTTATTTGATTTTATTTTCATAGTAAAATAAGGCTTATTTTGTGTGTGTAATGATATGATATATAATATAAACCAATGGTTTGTCTCTTACTTTCTGACTTAATATGTGTTTTGGTTTTCAGTTTGCCATTGGATCTCTGATGGATGATTACCTGGGTAAGTACTAGAATTAGACTACAAATCATTGTTGTCATTGTACGAGTGAAATATCGGTTCATTTAGTATATAGTGATACCAATGCTTCATTCTTTAAAGTGTGATTTCTTGTTAGTTACCTTTTTCACTTTACTTTCAGGTCTTGTCAGCTGATTGGTGTCTACGAGGGACGGTGGAACATTTTATGTCCTAACGTAGTTGGTTGATATTTTTTTACACTTACAGATGTTGTATGGTGACAGCCATTGAAGCACCATGTATTTTTTTCTTATGTAATGTACAGCTTACATTTCATGAAGATTATTTTCTTGTTTGGTGTTACTCCAAAAGAAATGTCAGGATTAGGTAAAAATGTCCAGCTTCTGATAACAAAACCGATTAAGGATAGAGGTGGGGTTACAGGATGTGGTTGGAGTTAGATGGCGCTGGAAGTACTTGCCAATAATTTGTAGTTTCTTTTAGTGTAATTTCACTCTGTGTTTTTTGTATGTGGTTGGCAATAAAGCATTTTATTTGTTTTTACTTTGTATTCTTAACTGAATCTCACCGGTCTGGTGAGGTCGTTTGTCTCTACGGTTTAAGTAATTTTAAATGGAATGATTTAACAAAGACTTTTAGAAATGAGATGTGGATTTTACTTTGCCATGCTCGTCGCGCAAAACGTAAACGCGGCAAACTCGTGGCCGCGCACGTCGTTTGGACGTAAATACGTCAGAGACGCACGCCGTCGCTCTTTCTTTCTCTCGTCCTGAAGATGGCGGCAGGGGTGAGTAAGATGGAGAAATGGGCAAACATGGGGCTTTCTTTCAAGTTTGCTGTCTCAATCCGTCTATATCTGAGCCATCTGCTCTCCTACACATATGCTTTTTAGTCGAATAAGACTGTCTCGGTTTTTGGTGGCTTCTACGGGCTTTATTTACAGCTTTTTCTATAAACATTGATCGGTCTGAGGTTAGCTTTGCTAACATCTGAGAGCATTGAAATGGCCAGCCCAGGGCTGTGCCACGTTACCTCAACGTTTAGAGATCTTTCTATTCAGTACTTGCGTTTTCACAGGTTCTCTCTCGACTTTAGGACTGTTGTTTTGTCGATATTAACTCAAGTCTGGCTCTATCGAAGCTAAATATTACTGTTTTATTGGAAGATGACGACATCGAGTTGTTTTTCCGAGCATTTTTTTCTCTTTTAAATAATGTGAACGCTGCTTGTTTAAATGTATACATTGTTTAAGAGTGAAGACAAATGAGCCAGATTCATCTCGCCTTTGTCATCGGTTAGTTTGCTGAGGTTTTAAAGCCCCACTGGGTCCTCCCTGTGCACAGTCATCTTTACATGGGGGGAGCATCTGGTTTGGTGCTTCATTCATTTGTCAGGAACCCCGATGCTAAGCTGCTGTTACGTTTAGTAAAGACAAATCATCACACTTGTCTGCAACTAAAATGTGCCTGGGTAAATGTGTATGTTTAACTCCACGTCTCCCATGTATCCAAGCCATGTCAGAAGAGGAAAAGTTTTACAGTTTGGTTGAACGCTTTTGATTGTAAATTGCAATAATTTTTTCACCCTTATTTCCAGACTCTGTACACATACCCAGAAAACTGGAGGGCCTTCAAGGCTCAAATTGCAGCCCAGTACAGTGGTGCCCGCCTCAAAGTCTTCAGTAGCCCCCCTGCCTTCACCTTCGGGCAGACGAACCGCACTCCTGCCTTCCTTAATAATTTCCCTCTGGGCAAGGTTGGTGGATAACTCGGTTCCATTTTATTGATCCTTAAACTTGTGCGATACTGGTTGCCTGATTGGATTTTTTTTAAGAGGTGCTAATTTTTACTTTCTTGGCTTTGCTTGTGTTTTATGTTAAACTAATCAGAAATTTCTTCCCGTTTACAGGTACCTGCCTACCAGGGAGATGACGGTTTCTGTCTGTTTGAGAGTAATGCCATTGCTCACTATCGTAAGTCTCGCTTTTAAATGAAGCTTTTCACACACAGCCTAAATGTTTGTCCAAAAAATTCTGCGTTTAATAAACTTGGAGTTTTCACGGATTACTGCGTATCTTGAAATAAATAACACTGCTCCTGTCCACAGTGAGCAATGATGCCCTGCGTGGTGCCACTCCTCAGGCAGCAGCCCAGGTGCTGCAGTGGGTGAGCTTTGCTGACTCGGAGATCATCCCTCCTGCCAGCGCCTGGGTCTTTCCCACTCTGGGGATCATGCAGTTCAACAAGCAGGTTTGCCGTTTGCTTTTGGTTGTTAAAGTGGAGCTAATGATCTCTCTAACGGAATATATAGGGTTTTGTTGTTTGACCATACCTGCGTTTTCTCTTTGGGTCCTCTCAGGCTACAGAGCAGGCTAAGGAGGATGTGAAGAAGGTCCTCACGGTGCTGAACCAGCACCTGAACACCCGCACCTTCCTGGTGGGGGAGAGAGTCAGCCTGGCTGACATTTCTGTCGCCTGCTCCATGCTCTGGCTCTACAAACAGGTAAAAAGCTTCTGACCGTGCTCGCAGCAGTCGTTGAGCTTTGAAAGAAAGATGAGTTATAGGGCTCTGAAAAAAGGCTCTCAACCCCCTCGTCCTCTGTAGGTCCTGGAGCCATCCTTCCGTCAGCCTTATGCCAACGTGACCCGCTGGTTCGTCACCTGCGTCAATCAGCCTCAGTTCAAGGTTGTTCTCGGGGAAGTCAAGCTGTGTGAGAAGATGGCTCAGTTTGATGGTGAGTAACCTGCACAGAGATCAAAGGGCTCTGCCAAAAATCTGACTGCTTGGGAGGCATATCCATGACGTAATGGGCCGCACAGCCTGTCCTTCTGTGTCGACTTCATTCGGAATGGAAAACCACCTGAACAGAGAAATGCTGAGTAGGCACTAATGGGAAATAACAGTGTTGGAAATTGATCTGGACATGAATCTTTAAAACAGAGCTGAAGTTGCATTTCTTTTCTTTTTTTGTTGGTTTGTCTGAGGTTTAAAATTTCCTGCGACAAAGCAGCTGTAGTTTGGCCTGTAGAGCGACCATCCCCCAAACAGAACAGCTGCGGTTTGAGCCCCGCTTCAGTGACATGTCACACTCTCCTTTTGAAAGACATGAAAACCTCCCATTGCCCCCAACACGCACGATAAAGTTGAAGGCCACAGGTGTGGAACATTGAAAACATTTTATTCTGTTTCTCCAGCCAAAAAGTTTGGAGAGATGCAGCCCAAGAAGGAGGCTCCTGCCAAGAAAGAGAAGGGGGGGAAAGATGCAGCGAAGCCCCAGGAGAAGAAAGAAAAGAAAAAAGAGGAGAAAAAGCCAGCTCCAGAGGAGGAAATGGATGACTGTGATGCTGTTCTGGCATCAGAGCCCAAAGCCAAGGATCCGTTTGCACACCTGCCAAAGAGGTAAACATTTGTCTTTAAAGCTTAGCAGGGGGGGCGGGGGGGGGTCACACTGTGATCATCAACTCTCAATATTGGGTTTGCATATTGTTGGTTAGGACCAACACTCATCAGTTAGAAAATTGGCTTTACCCCCCGACACTTTCCCCTGTCATTGGGCAAGGCAGTGTCCTGTGATGGCACCAAGTCTTAATCTGACAGGGGAAGAGAGACAAAGACCATATTCATCCCAGTCACCTCTATTCAGTGAGTAAAAGGCTGGTTCATGCTGTGGCCACAAATAGATTTGGAATTCAAGAGCACCCAGGCCTGTCGGTTGCTCAAATATTATTCTTGGAGAACATTTGCAGTAGTTTGATTCCACCTGAATACCTCAGGCAGGTGTTGATGGTTGTAAAGCTGTTTGTACCATTCCTGATGCCCTGTATAGCTCCAGAGAAACTGACCTCAGCTATTTTTCTTCCCGCTGATTGTATACGTAAACACTGATGCTTGCACCACTGTTGCTCCACTTGATCTTTCCTCCAATGTAAAATGACTTGTTTTTTGTTTTTAATATGTATTTAAAGCACATTCATCATGGACGAATTCAAGAGAAAGTATTCCAACGAGGACACCCTGACAGTGGCCCTCCCCCATTTCTGGGAGAACTTTGACCGCGAGGGCTATTCGATCTGGTATGGTCAGTACAAATACCCAGAGGAGCTCACGCTGACCTTCAAAAGCTGCAATCTCATCACAGGTGAGACCCTACAGGAAAAAGAGAGAATCTATGATCAGGGCAGGTTCATTGCTACTCAGTCTGTAGTTCCATTTTTCAGTGTGGCACAGTCTTCACTGAGGATTATAAAGGAGTACACTTTCTATGGAATGTACACAGACATGGGGTGTTTCTTCAAACCCATTCTTGCTTTGAAATATCCTCTTGCAGGGATTAGGGGAACACAGGAACAGGATAATGGCAGAGTGGTTTGTGGGTTGCTGTTTTGGAGCCTGGGGGTTGGCACTTTGGATATTGGCTCCCTTGCTCCTTTAGAAAAATGTCAGAAACCAAAGGGTGGACCTGATCTAGCAGTTTGTCAATCACAGGCGGCCACGCCTCTAAACATAACCTGCCACGTAGGGAACTTTAAGTGGTGTCAGACTGTCCTAATGGCGGAGCACTGGAAAAAAATCTATGAAAACTTGGACAGAATTAGTTTTGCAGATTGTCACTGCCCCTTGCTGGCCACAAAGAAACCGGTTTGTCATTTGGCATATCTACATTTAGGACCTGAAAATCTTTGACCCATTTACTCATAGATTCTAAAGCATGGTGTGTTAGATGTGCACTGAGTTCAAGAAGGCTGCTCGTCAGCCAGAACAGATCTGTGTTTGAATTAAAGCACAGCAGGGTCCCCAGTCATTGGGCAAGGCAGTGTCCTGTGATGGCACCAAGTCTTAATCTGACAGGGGAAGAGAAACAAAGACCATATTCATCCCAGTCACCTCTATTCAGTGAGTAAAAGGCTGGTTCATGCTGTGGCCACAATACTCCAATACAATACTCTGGAGCATCAGAATGATGCTGCGCATGTATGAATGTGATTTGGATCATCGCAGCGTTCATAATATGTTACTTCTGAGCTTAAGACAAAACCATGATGTTAAAATGTTGGCCACCTTTAAAGCCCCTCCTCTACCCTCACAGGTATGTTCCAGCGCCTGGACAAACTGAGGAAGAATGCCTTTGCCAGCGTCATCCTGTTTGGCACCAACAATGACAGCAGCATCTCCGGTATCTGGATCTTCAGAGGCCAGGACCTGGCCTTCACTGTACGTACATGAAAGCCTACTTTTTTCTTTTTCTTCAATATAGTATTTAGATTTGATAGCATCTCCAGGCTCAAACAGTAGCCGGCTTTTCTTTGGCATGGTGATGCAGGCAGTCCATTGTGTAGTTGGTGTGAAGTGCTGGGACCACAGCTAAGCATTGGACAAACACAATGCCGGGCTTGTTTATGTTGGCACGTTTTATTCGACAAGGGTGAGAATGTCATGCAGTAAAAAAGGGAATGGGACAACATTTAAAAAACAGGAATTGGCTAACTTTGTCGTAAATCTGACAGGTTTGCTTAAGACCAAATACTTCATTATTTAAAGATTCCAACACTTTGAATAGCATTATCAGTCAAGGTGTGATGGTTCCTGTTTAGTCAGGTTGAGATTTTGTCAGATTTCCCCTGTCATTGGGCAAGGCAGTGTCCTGTGATGGCACCAAGTCTTAATCTGACGGGGGAAGAGAAACAAAGACCATATTCATCCCAGTCACCTCTATTCAGTGAGTTAAAAGGCTGGTTCATGCTGTGGCCACAAATGGATTCAACTCGGGAATTTGTAATCGGCTTTCAATTTAAAGCTGGTAAAGTATACAGAGCGAAGATGCAGGCATAAAAAGTAAAGACGGCACGGGGTGAAGGTACTCTGCTGTAAGAGTTGGGCATGTTGTCCAGACATGTTGGGGCGGAGAGCTGCCCAGTGGTGCTGGTATGTGGGTTGTAAGGGGGGTGGGGGGGGGGGTCGTGATTAAGCCTCCCCATGCAGCATCAGGTGAAAGATCTGAGTGCTGACACATGTGCTGAGAGTGATGGTATATATTTTTTGTCTTTAATTCTTTTCTCAGCTGTCCGAAGACTGGCAGATTGATTACGAATCCTACGACTGGCGCAAGCTGGATGCAAACAGTGAGGAGTGCAAGACCATGGTAAAGGAGTACTTTGCATGGGAAGGAGACTTCAAGCATGTCGGCAAATCGTTCAACCAGGGCAAAATCTTCAAGTGAGAGGACTACAAGGCACTCTGCGCTCCCTCTCTACAACACTTACAACAAAGGACTTTCAGCCACATGTGCTTACTTTGCTGCAAAAATGACTTTGAATGATGGTGTTTGAAGACAAGTATTTTGTTTCTGTGGCCCTCAAACTGGTTTTCTGATGTTTGACATGCAAAATAAAGAATTTCCCTCAACGCCGGTAAGGAGAATTGAACCGTCTCTGAAAGTTTTCTTTTTGTCAAATGTCAACAGGACATCTGCAGAGAAATATAAACCATTTAATGCCACGTTTGTAAATACTTGTTCAGCGAAAGTGATGCAACAGAACTTAAAATTTATTGGTTTAAAAATAGTTGCTACATGGTCTTGGTTTCAGAAGAGATTGTGGAGTATTCTGTTCAATTCACTTTAATTTGGTTAAACTTTAATTTTAGTGGAGTTTATAGTTGGGTAAATTAGCTTCTAATGGCATTGAGATGTCATTTTGAAACTAAATGGTTTTAACTTATTGGTGTGTTGCACTATTGTATTATACCTGCAGGGGGCAGTCAGACCTAACAGTTGGAGCACGTTGAACAGAGTGACCGGCCTTATTTCTGGTTTAGAGGGAAAAACGCAGCCTGTTTTTTTTTTTTTTTATGGTTTTACAAATTTAATAGTACGTATTTAAAGTTTTAAAGGGTGAATCTTGAAGAAATATTGGAATTCTTCAAGTATGATTTAGCCAGTAAATGTCTCTTTTGGATACTATAAGATAACATAAGAGCTTACTTGCTAAAACCTTCAACCATGTTGCATAATTACCATAAAAAGCAGTGAGAACATCAGCTAAACTTTGAAAATCAGTCAGCAACGGTAGTTTCTTTGCTTTATTTTCTTACGTGTATGTGATTTGGAGGACAGATATGAAAGCATGCCTTGGATTGGCCACACCCAGTTGAAATGGTGAAATGAAATAATTTTGATGTGACTTCTGCAAATGGAAATTTCAAAAGAGGAAGAATACATTCAGCTACGAGGGAATTTATGAATTGTTTATTTTTTTCTAAAGTGGATTCAGTTTATTCTTGGTAAGGCAAACGGTAGAATATAGCTTAAACCTTCCTTTTGTGAAGGTTGTAGCTGCGTGTTGTCCGTCGAAGTTCATGTTTGGATTTGCAAACAAAGCACTTGCTTTATTAGACACACCCAACAGACTATTTGAAAGTTTGCATTATGCTTTGGATAATTTCTTGTTCCCACACCTGCTAGGTAACTTTTCCCTGAGCTTCAGTGTTTGTTTATGGCTGCAGGTAAAATGGAACACCTGGATCGACTTAACGAAAATTTCAGTTTGTTTAAAAGTGACTTCAGCTTTGAGATATTTTTTTTAGGGTTCATTGTGTTTGTCAAAGTAAACTGCGTAGTCACTACATAAGTCCTAAAGTTCTTAAGTTTTTGGGTGGGTCTTGGGGCTTTCTGTCTGATTCACACATCCACACGCATGTGAGAGATGCACCAGAGATGACTCTTATCCCAGGATGAGTCAGTTATTTCATTTTTTCCTTCTCACTAAGCGTGAATCATGATCATTTTGGCGCAGCCCTCTCCCACTCTGGTGTTGAATCAGGGGAGCCATTTTAGTTTGTTCTGTGGTCTCATGGAAATCAGAAAATGGAAATGTTCCCACAACAGTCAAGCGCTCAAGTCCTTGAACACATGACTCACCCATCCTGTGGATCACGGTGGAAGAGGGCTGTAACTTGAGCAAATAACTTCGACTTCACCCACAGCTTTGCAGCGGTTACAACACGACTGCTGAATAACCCTTAAACTGCTGAAAGAGCTGCGTTCCAAAAGCTTTTTTCAGCTCTCCATACAACTTCAAACTAATCAGAGCAGGGTGCACTTAGTACGGACATTTTTCAGGATAGTTTCTTGAACTGATGCCAAACAAAGTCTATACAATATACTGGTATTTGTGCATGTTTAGGAGCTTTAGAGTTAAGAGGCTAAACTAAAGCAAGACACGAGAACAATAAGCAGTCCCATGCCAACAGCAACATTTTCTCTCCGGTCTTGCCAATATTCCTCCCCTGGTCTTCACTTCTCTCTTTGCCACACACTCTCTCCTTTTTCCTTCCTTTCTCTGATCCTTTCTCTGTGGACATTCTTCTACATCCTTCCACCAGTAGGGAGCGGGTGGGGGGTCTTAAAAAGTAGTAGCAGCGGCGAGGAGCGCGCCGGTGAGGGTTGAACACACAGAGAGGCTGTATTGTTTCACCACACAGGGTTCCTGTGTGGCTGTCAGCCCCCAGTAAGAACTTTAGGCATGGTATGCATATGCTGAGCATCTGGTGGTGTGTGCCACACATCTGGAAAAGGGTGAGGAAGCTGTCGGAGTGCTTGGAACAGCAAGGCGTAAAAGCGTAGACTTTTTTTTTTAACCCCTAAAGAACCACAACTTCAAAATTGGCAGTTTATGAAAAGACAGTGGAATGCACTCATTTGTTGTTGTGCCTGTTGTCGGTTGGCTTAAAATGTCTTACATATATTTTCTTTACTACACCTTAACCATGGTTAAAGTGTGTCACAGCCCAAGGCCTTTCTTCTGTGAGCCTGTGAAAAGGCCTAAATTTAGAGTATTGAGCACTTGGTAGAGGCCAAATCCCTGCAGATGCTCATGGTGATGGGAATTCCAATTCTTTTCAGGGATCCAGACCTTTTGGCTGAGGTCAGCAAAAACAGCTGCCATTGTTGGCGCCCACACATGTACACATTACAGAACAGCTTTTGCAGAATTTTGCATTTCGCACCTAAATTATCCAGAATAAACATAATAATGAATGCTATACTTTAGATTTTAAATACATTAAAATAGATAGCAGCTCTAAAATATCAACCAGCTTTGATTCAGGCTAAATCTGCAAGGTAGTGTCCGACACCTTCAGAGCCAGTTACTGACTAAATCAGTGATAAGCAACCAAGAGTACAACCAAGTAGCATGGGAAAATAATTGGACTAAATAATCAGCGCTTCATTGCAGGCACTGGAGATGGCCTTGATCAGCTTTTCCCCCTCACAGCTGATGGAATGCAGAGTTACTGTTACAAAAACATAACTGGTAATGCAAGCAGGCAAGAAGCTAGGAGGTGGACTTACTGCTTTTTGTTTTGTGAAAATTGGAGCACAATATATAACACTGAAAAGGAATGTTTCATAAGTATGAATGTGAACTCTCGACTTTACAATGCATCCACAAGGTACATAGCAATTTACCTATAATTCAGCATGTAGGTCATTGGGCATGTTCAGCAAATAGTTTTTCCAACTTTCCATGCACTCCAAAATCTGCTGCTAAAGTTGAAAACTTCTTGAATGCTCAAGGCAGCGTCTGGACGAATGGAAAACAACACAGCAGAAGCCCTTTTGCAAGTCTATCATAGATCACAGAGTCCCATAGGATTGATTGCCACAGTAGTCGACACATACCCATAAATAGAGCTCTGTGGAAATAAAACCAAAAGGGTATTCAAGAGTTTCACTGTTATCTATCTAAGCAAAACTGGTGGGACATATTTCGAGCAGAAAAAAACCTAAAGGCTCACCCTCAGATCTTCATGAGGTTTATCTTAAGCCCAGCTCCTTTGCTGAAGTCTTTTCTGTAACAAAGGAGCAGTTTTACCTTTCTGAATGATCAACATACTTGGATTTGCATGTGGGACAAGAGCCTATGAGTAAGCCAGAGACTGCACAGTATGGAAATTGGAGAGACAAGCAATGATGAGTTACTACACATCACATTCATAAAACCTTAGCAAATGCATGCTAATTGTCAACTTCTAAGAACTGCAAGCTTTCTGCTAGAATATTAGAGACATCCCAGAACACAATGCTAAAGTAAGGGAAGAATTATGGAACTTTTAATATTAGTACTAATGCATATCCATTTGCAAGATGGGTTGTAATTTGAGAAGAAATATATCAGACATCACTGCCTATTAGATTTTTAAAGGGTGTAGGCTGCACATTTTTTCTCTGACACTGAAAAATAGCACAGTAATTCAGCACTGGAATGGAATGAAGAGGTCAAAGGTGAGTCTGCCGAGGGGAAATAGCTAAAGAAGGCAAGGAATGGAGAAATGGTTTAACGTCAGTCATGCCAAGCAGGCATGGCTGTACAACAGTTCCTGCTAGTGACATCCATCAGCTGAGAAAGTCATCATGGCGGGACGCAGTGATTAAAGAGTTATTTACTGGTGAGTTTTCGTTGCCCTGCAATGGGTAATGTGAGTGTGAGAGCTGAGTGCCTTGAGGGAGGGGAGAATGAGCACAGAGGGAAATACGCACAGCCCCTGCACTTTTGGGCATGAAACCCCAGAGTTGCATCTGGCTCATGTTACCAGAATCTGGAGGTGGGGCATGTTGTCAAACACAGGCAAAACTACAACAATGCACTGCCATGACTACCAAGAGTAAAAATACTGACTGCCCTTAGGCAAAAATTAAAGACCCTAACCCTAGCCCTGACCCTAACCCGCTATTTGAAAATACAAAAACTCTCTTTGCACGAAAAAAAAAAAGGAAAAAAAAGGGATAGGCTACATAACATTTTCATCACAGTAACTTTGTGGTGTGTGTATTCAATCTTATATCTCTGAAATAGTCTTTGGCAATCCCTCATCTTCCCATAAAGTTCAATGGCTCTGGTATACCTGCTTAATTGAACTTCTTCAGAAGATGTTTTCCTCGTGGAATGTTCTGTGAAGAAGGCGCAAATGAGCTTTTTGTGTGTACCCTGACCTGACTTCATGTGTTGACATGCCGGTGATATACCAACCGAGAATGAGTCGTAGCGTTGGTACATTTATAGCTATGATCGGAATGTGCACCTCGGGAACATTGTGTTGAAAACCAGCAGGTGAGAGGTCACGGGAGGAGGGAGAAATATCAAATCACTCTGTTTTGTTGTAGGCAAACTATTGACAGATTGACTGTCACAAAATTGATCACAAATATGTTGTTCTGGTATGTGTGTGGTATGTGTGTGCCAAAAGTTGCTGTGTTAAAACTCAAACATATTACGAGCGTGGAAGTTTGTGCTCGATCTGTAAGTCATCTCGGTTTTACTGGGATTCCTTTTCTGTTTTTTTTTGTTATGGCGTGCAGGATTCATTCAAGGCCCTTTTTTCCTCAAACATAAAAGCCCAAACAATTCAAATGAAAATGATTACAGATAAATGCACTCCGCTGTTTCATAAGACTACGTTAGTTAAGACAGTTGGGCAACAGTAACACACCTGTAATT